TTGCTGAACTGTTTTCATAGCTTTGTTCAAGATTTTTTAATAAGGGACTTTAAAAGAAATCACCCTAGGTTCATGTGGATCTTTTTCCTTGTCAGCTACTTGAAGAAGAGTTCATCAAGGGGAATGAAATTGGGATTAGATTGAGAAGACTTGCAAGAAAGGACATTTTTTTAAGACTGGATTTGGGATACCTAGGGCCAGGGGTGAAAACATTTAGCTTTATTTGAGGGGAATATATTAATCTGTTCTGGGTTTTGCTTAGCTTTATTCAAGGGATATTTATTAATCTGAAGTCGACATTATGGTCCAAGCATGGCCCTCAGCAGATTTCCAGTGGGGGTTACCTGAATGATATGTGGTAATTAAAGCGTAGAACATGATATCAATCAGGACCATCCAATGGGATGACAAGCGTTTGGCAACCACTTCTGTGCAAGGAACTGATACAACATCTCACCTATGATGATTCTATTCCTGGCAAACTTGGCAATCACCGTTCTATTGAATCTATTATCTATGAAATCAATGAGGACAACACAAACTTCTCAACTGGTTCTATGATGTTCTATTAACATCCCTGCAAAGCGCCTTTTAGACCAAAGTCAGGAAACAGCACGTCCGTGCTCCGTGCGCTCCGTGGGTTTGGTGCGTTTGCTCCGGTGGAGAGTCGTATCCCGGCCCGTGCCCGGCGGAACTCTTCCCGTAGGCGAGTGAAGAGTCGTACCTGACCGGTCGACGGCCTCGCCCGTCAACCGGTACCACGTCTGGGCGGGACGTGCCACGTGACTCCGAACGTGCCATGGTGACATGGATGCCATGGCCCCGAGTGAGTTCGGAAGACCATGAAATCCACGAACCAAACAGCTGGTGCCATCCACGTAACCATGTGAGTTCGGAGAGTACACTTCTTGAAATCATCGAACCCAAACGAGACAGGGGACCTGAATCGAAGGGGTCTGGGGTCGAATCCTCTGGATGGGATCTGGGGTCGAACCAATCCCTATGGTTTTGAGGGACCGGTCGGGCCGTTTATTGGAGCGTCTGGCAAGCGGAAAGCAAAACACCGGCCATGCCATCCTCGGACAACTCATGGGACCTTCGAAAAACTCGGCCTCCGCCATCCACGTTGGCCGTCAGGGGGAGTGTACTGAGTGTGTCCCTGTCCCAACTCATGGGACTCGAATGGGCACCATGGAGCCCTGCCACACCATCAACCACCCCAACTCAGGTGTAGATCATGCCAAACAAAACCGGTGGTGTCTGGGTATGGATGAGCAGTTTCAAACGAAAGATACCTGGAAAGTGGATTCAAAGCATCTAGCCCCTTGGATTGATGTATATAATGGTTATATATAACATAGGGCTTCTACACTGGCTTCTACTGTAGCTAGCTTCTAGATCAGCTGTGTCATACTTCCAATCACAAATCAACTCCTTCCC